TTTTACAAGCAGACAAACAGGCGGCCCGCTTTCAGAACCGAATTTTATTGGTCATAAAAACAAGCGCTCCTTTCTTCATCACCACATTTTAAGTATAAAATCATCATCATCACTTATTTCCCTTATCGACCAAAATAAACCGGACAGAACCGGTCCCAAGAACCACAGCAAACCATCAGACTGATGATGGATAACCTGTTCTGGTCTAACTGGGTCACAGAATCGGCTGGTTGCTCCCAGCCTGAAATGGATCTGTGGTTCTCGGACCGGTACCACGCTGCTTCCATCTGGGCCCAGTCCAGAACCAGTTATCAGGTTTGATGAGGAAATGGGTCACGGTTCCTGGGTACTCCTGTAGCCTCCAGTCCGTCTAGAAGGTTCTGAACTTTCTGTCAATTGGACCAAGTGGAATGGAAGGTTCCTTTAATCTGGTTCCTGCAGACTCAGGGAATCAGTCCTGCTTTGGTCCAGTTCCTGATTTCATTTGATGTTTTCATGTCAAGATGGATCAACTGGATCCAGTCTTCATGCTGGACCACCGATTTCACCGGTTCTGGTGCCATAAAACTGGTTCTGGTACCATAAAACTGGTTCTGGTGTGAGCAGAGAAAAGATCCTTTTATCAAGGGCTTAACTTAGGAGAGGGATCAAACTGGACTGAATTGGGTTAAACTGGGTTGAACTGGGCTGAACTGAACGGGGCTGAACTGGGTTAAACTGGGTTGAACTGGGCTGACCTGAACTGGGCTGAACTGGTCTGGACTGGGCCCACTCAGACCTTCTGTCTGCAGCAGGTCCACCATCACATGAAATCATTTTTTAATCAAACATATTTTCCCTCCACCCATCAAGCAAAGTGTCTAAGTTAGCATGAGAGCAAACCGGCTGGAACCGGCCGCAGCGATTGTCCCTTTTGTTCGATTCCCGCCGCTGGCTGGTATCGGTTCTGGTCCGGCAGAGCTAGTCGTCTCGTTTCAGATGCTGTCATAGTCGGAATCCCTCCTCCTGGACTCGGTGACCCACTCGGCTACGAAAAACGTGACGGATCCCAGGAAGCCGACAATGACGAGGATGAGCAGCTGCCAGTGGAGCAGCAGGAAGTTACTGTAGAAGAAGGCCACGGCGGCCATGATGGACTGCAGGGAAGAGGAACAGAGACCGTTAGTCAGAACCACATTTTACCCGGAGTGACCCGTCCCCGGACCTGTCACCTGGATGAACTTGAAGACGGCGAAGGCGGGGGCACTGTTGTCTGGAAAGGTGAAGCCGATGATGCTGAGGAGCTGCGTGTTGAAGCAGCTGTCGCCCAGACCCAGCAGGAAGCTGCAGAACAGCGCCACCCCGACGCTGGAAACCAAGAAGAAAGGGTTCAGAACGGCCAACAGGTCCAAACCCGCAGGGGGGTAACAGCGACCCGATTGTTGGTTCTGTCCAGTCTCTCCATTCTAAGGCAGCCGGTTCTGACCCGTCCTCCGACTAGCATTGAGACGAAGACCATCTAATTAGCATCAATCATGAACTCGGTACCTGGTTCTGATAGAACCCATAGAACCGAATGAATGAATTATTCCACTTTGGGTCCATATTCCGATTTCTGGGTTAAAATCCTGTTTATTAAAGAAAGTTGGATTCTGATTCTATTCTGATCCTTTCAGAAGCGCCTGGATCTGGTTTGGGTTCCTGAGAGGCGCAGAGGTGATGAGAACACAGATGAGGAAACGGGACTGAGACCACGCTGGAGGAGAGACCTGACTGAACCAGAACCTGCAGAGAAGCGCGTACTCCGTGTCCTCCTACCTGGGTGTGATGAAAGCCTTCAGATCCGTCCCGCCTTCTGGTGCCAGCGGAGCATCGCTGGCGATGTTCAGGAAAATCAGGAAGAAGGCAACAAAGTGAGTGATGAGTCCCAGCAGCACCACGGGGTTCCTCCCAAAGCGCTTGTTTTTATTCAGCATCCCGAAGACGCCCCCTCCTGGACAGAAACAAGGTGGCACAGAGTGGGACGCTGCAGACCGCCTCTCTGCAGAGCTTCAGCAGCAACGGCAGCTCACCCAGGATCTCTCCAATGCCGATACAGATTCCAGAGAGACCGATCAGACTCTTGGCATCGGACCCAAAGCGGGTCATGGCTCCGATACAGGTCCCATACACACCGCTGTAGAAGGTCAGCTCCAGACCTGGGAGAGAACATCTGGTTATCATCCACCTGGCAGGACATCAATCAGTCTGTCCACCAATCAAAGGCAGGAAGCAAAGGAGCTGCTGAGTTTAACATAAAGAAAAAAATCTACAGAAAATGTTTTTATACAGATTGAGGCTGACGCCCCTCCCCAGCTCGGCCAGAAGGGGGCAGAACTGGTCGAGCAGAACAGACGGGGTGGGTTTATAATGCTGAGGTGTTCCTCCAGGTTCACCCACCTGTGTATCCGATGGAGACGCTCAGCAGCAGCATCTCTTTGGTCACAGATATTTTACAGGCTTGAACTGGAAAGGAAAGCAGAAGGTAAGGAGCAGCAGTGGGAGCAGTGGGAGCAGTGGGAGGTGCTTCAGTGATCCTACCAAAAGCATCCAGAGCCTGGGAGCATAGACCCGCCTGGCAGGAGCTGCAGAGACAGAAGAACCACAGTTTTCCTTCATCCACATTTTATTCTTCATGTTTTCCGGGAAACGTTTTGCTCTAAAGCCGCATCCCTCAGTCTGAGACAAATGTCTGACGATGGGACAATCCGTGTTGTGTCCTTTCCCCAACAGAGGGACACATCTTCCCCCATCACCAGAATCCTCCTCAGGAGGAACCAACCCACCAGCAGAGAACAGCTAGGCTCAGTCAGGTTTTGGTTGGTCTGTATAACTTGGGAACTTGTCTTGTTCCACATGTAGGTTCTGACCTGGATCCTATAATGACAGCTGAGGCGGTCACGGCGTGTAGCAGCCCGGGCCTCCACTTCAGCTACAGCTACACATTATGGTGGGACTGGACCGTGAACTAGACTGGACCCAGACTGGACCTCGAGCTAGACTGGACCTGGTGCTAGACTGGACCTGGAGCTAGACTGGACCCAGACTGGACCTGGAGCTAGACTGGACCTGGTGCTAGACTGGACCTGGTGCTAGACTGGACCTGGTGCTAGACTGGACCCAGGCTGGACCTGGAGCTGGTGCTAGACTGGACCTGGAGCTAAACTGGACCTGGTGCTAGACTGGACCTGGTGCTAGACTGGACCTGGTGCTAGACTGGACCTATGCTGGAGCTAGAGCAGGAAACCCACCACAACTAGAAAACTCAGGACGACCCGGGTGAACCAGGACACTGTCAAGCATTGATCCCTTTGACAATGTAGACATAAAGCAGGCTGTTAATGCAGACTTATTGTAAACTGTTAATGTAGACTGTTAATGCAGACTGTTCATGCAGACTGTTAACGTAGACTGTAGACACAGAAGCTGCTGGCATCATACAGCCACCACCATGCCTGTTTGTAGGGATAATGTTTTGATTCTGACCATTTAGAGGCAACTTGTCTTTCTCAGATTCCACTCTCTGCTCCTTTCTGGCTCAGCTCAGTTGCAAACCAGCGTTAGACATTAGTAAAAACCAAAGCTAACTGCATCTGCAGGTCACCAGCGAGCTAAGCTCCAGGTTCTGTGAAGTGCTAAGCTGCTCTGCAGTAAAGACCATGAAGGATGGAGGAGGCGTTGGTGGGCGGGGAACCGTTTTCATTAACTCCATAACGTTGCTGCTCTGCTGGGCAGAGAGGAGCAAACCCAGATTCTGGGAGTTCGGCAGAAGAGCTTCAGCCGTTTATCTCTCCCTCTGCCTGGGCTTTGGGTCTGAGAACACCTAAACGACCTGTGGTCAATCAGAAGCTCACCTGTCTGTGGAGCCATCTGCAGAGTCTGTCTGCAGCAGAGACTCTGTCGCCTCAGAACGTGAAGAGGCCTCCGGGTCGGGCTTCCGGATCAGGAAAAACAGGAAGCAGCCAACTAAGCTAATGACAGTGAGCGAGATGAAGACGGTCCTGCGGTCCATGTCTGAGAGAGAGGTGAGTCAGATGGTTGTGATGAGCTGAAGGCTGAGTCAGAGCAGCATGAGAGCTGGTTTCCTACCAGAGATGCGCTCGTGTCCTTGCCAGGCGAGGTAGATGTAGAGGTTCCCGAAGAACAAACTGTAGAGAGAAAGAAGCTCATTAAACCAGCAAACAACGTAAATATGGACGAAAACCTGAGGTCTGCTTCATCAAGCAACTTTTAAAAAATCTAGCCTAAAGTTGGAAACTCTTCAGTTTCATAAAAGCTGCTGTGAATTAATTTATTTAACTCTAACTCAGAGTTTAGCACGTGAGCAACAAGGATGAAAAGCCATTATCATTGGACCCCCGAATCGACGAGTCACCGTGGCAACAGGAAGTGCCTATTTCACCCCACTAGAACCACAGATTTAATAAAGAAATTAAAACGATTGAAGAATGTGTTTAAAAGACAGAAACAGCGCTACAGCTGTACAGGAGCGGAAGATGGTGGAGGAGAAGATTGTTGCTCAAGTTAAGGCGAAGGTTTATATGAAGTGGGCTATGGCAAGCCGTTTTTACATTTATTAAAAGCACTCTCCTCTCTGTTGTTCCATTTGTAGATCACTAAAATAAAATTCTTTAATATCAAATTGACCTAGTCAGAACTTTAATAACATATTTTCTAAATTACATTTTTGTAGCAAAAAGTAAAAACTAAATTATCCCACCAGGAATTAAGTTTTATATACCTAGAAATATTTACACATTTTAAGTCGTTTTAACCTTTATCAGCTTGAATAAATGTTTATTTATCAAGTTTGAAACATATTCAGGCAAACAAATACATATAAAAACGGCTTGTCATAGTTTGTTGTGACCATGATAACATTACGGGTGTTTTTCTTGAATGATGGTGGATCAATGTATCTATTTAGGGGAAATCACCTGTCAGCAGGTGGAGATGAAGTCTAGAATCCTTGTTCTATCAGGTAGGACCCGTTCATGGCCTCATGGGTTCTTCCTCATGTTGAGGTAGGACCTGTTCATCGACTCGTGGGTTCCTCCTCATGTTGAGGTAGGACCT